ATATTATAAACACCACATTTTTCTATTGTAGAGATAGACTGGAACTGAAATCCTGCAAAATATACCCTCCTTCCTCTTTATTAAGAAACCCTGATTTGAATTTAAATTCATTTAGACAGACCCTTGAGCTTATTGAAGATGTGGACTTCACAAAGGCATAACAGCTACAGATTTCTCTGTAATCAGCATTTGCATGATGATTCTACCGTGGTAGTGTTAGGGATGTGTTTCAGTCATGGCCCAGCTATGTGAGGTGTCATAAAACTCATAGCAAGACCTAGAGCATTCTACAAACAACAGCACATAGAGGTAAAATCAAATAAAGTTTGTGGACAACACATCCGGTGTCCTCAAAATGATGAATGCGTAACAGGTCAGTTCTGCAAAATACACCAAACCTTCCCTCCACCACACTATGGTTAGTTTCTTAAAAGAAAAAAAAAAACCTTAGTAATTATACAAATAATTTAAAAACGTTAAGTAAGGTTAAAGACATTAAATTCTTCCCCCCCTCCGTTTTGAAACTCACCTGAAACATTAGCCCTCAGTCTGTTTTTGAAGGCTCCTCTGCACCTGCTAGTCAGTAATTGCACCCAGCTGTTTCTCCTTGGCTGAGCCTGGAATTCCCAGCCTCAGCAAGGGAAGGCCGCAGAGCAGCCAGGGTGTAGCTGCAAACGAGTTCCCGACCTCTGTAAAAAGTTAATGTTTTTTACAAAAAGTGGAGGAGTTTCCTGTCATGGTGCTCAAGTCAAGTTCAGGTTATGTAATACAGAGAAGCTATGGCCTGTCTTTCTCCTCCCTGTTGCTGCTGTGTTTTTGTTCCTTCAGCTGCTGAAGAAAGTCTTGTTTTCTCCTAAGGGCCTGTCCTTTTCTTCCCTAGAGGCAGTTGGGACTGTTGCTAAATCTAATTCATCTGGTTGTTTTCCATACCTCTGCTCTGTAAGCTGTTCTGCTTGGGCAGGTAAGTTCAAGTGCTCTGTCACACTGACTCCCCAGAGACTAAGCCTTCATAGGCGTGGTGACCCACCTATAACAATCTAGCTGCCCAAGGAAGGCCTGATTCATTTTCCTGTTAACAAAAGGGTTTTTTACTCAGTAACAGGGGACAGAAAACACTTTTTTTCTTCCAAGCTGGAAAGAATGATTTTAAAACCACAAAAATTGTTAGGGGAATTCAGAGAAGAAGCAGAAAACCTTTTAACTGAGTTAGGCGACTGAACTCACTGACCTTAGCATAGGACTACTATACTGCAAGCTCTGTCAGGATGCTTGCAGAAAACAAACACCTATGCCTACATTTTCCTGTCCTTCAAGGGAGGCCTCGGTCTAGTCTTGTTGTAGGGTACATAGTTACAATTTTATTGTACGATGATAGTTCTGGGGTGCTCCTGCTGTTATTATTTTCCATGCTACCATAGTAATCTGTTGTAAAAGGGTGATGCGAGGGAATACAGCTAGGTGCTTGTAGCTTCCTTGACAAAAATACCAACACTGTATCTCTTTTAAGCTAACCTAATAAAGCCTGCTAAATTAATTTAAGGGTGAATTGTGACATGATCTTAATAGGTTGGTAAAGGAAGTGCTTATCAGCAAGGTCTTATACCAGAAAAGGTGATGTGGGCTTACTTGGACATTTGACTGTTTTGGAGGTTGTCTATGAAACACTAATGGTAAAAATACCTTGTTTTGGAAAGCATGTGAATAAGAAACATAGACATGCTTTGGGGCAGGTAGTACTAATAGCTGAGCTTTACCACTTTACAAAAAGGCAGAGTAGCAGTTAAGAGTATTGCACTGAGGCACAGGAGATTTGGTATCTATTTTCAGCTCTGCTTTGGGCCTGCTGATTGGCTCCTAATTATTCTGTGCCTCAGTTCCCCCTTTTAAAAAAGCAAGAATGAGACCAACATCCTTTATAAACAGCTTCAAGTTCTGTTGATAAAACACACTTTATTAATAGCAATGATACCTTCTCCCACATACTGCTGGAGAAAAAAAAGAAACAGCTTCAAGTTCTGTTGATAAAACGCACTTTTAAATAAAAAAGTAAGTTCAAAAATGTTAGTGAAATTATGGTGATGTACAAGTGACTGTGGAGAAAAAAAAGAAGAGGAGGACCATCATGCCTGCTCCATCGCTGCCATGGAAAATGGATGTTAACCTAGTCCTACTTCTGGAGTGAGAATGGCAACATACACAGGAACCTGGAGGGGCTAGTCTATATCGTTGAGGTCAGCAAAGATCACTGACTGAGCAGGCCTCGAACATGAACCACCCTCTCAGCCAGAGATAGCTAGTCTGGGTCCCAGATGAAGCACCCTGGTAGAGTAAATGGTGCTGTTGTTGCCATGCTGCATCTGCTGGCCATCTAACCTTTTCCGGCGCTGAAAGTGTACCTTCAAGTGGAGAACCCCTCTTCCTTCAGTTCAGACTTGGGCCAGATGCTGGCCTGAGTCGTAGCAGAGTAAATCTCTGAAATATCTGCGTCAGTGGATATTTCGGCAAACTGAGACTCCAGCCTTTCAGCTGCTCACCATGTGCAGGTCTTCATATCTGCCTTGAACTGAAATTAACTTGTCACGAGCATGGATACAAGGATCTTGTTGAATGAGCATGCTGCAATTTTTTGTGTTAGACAGGAGTCTTAGCAGATTCTGGTTACATATTAAGACTACAGGTTGCTCATTACCACAAGAGGGAAGCCAATACTAATAATATAATTTTCTTTGTATATCAGCTAGGGCTAGTGTGGTGAGATTTTTGTCCATTTCAAGTCTGTTGCATGTCTCCTTCTCTTTCCTTGTAGCACACTTGCGTTTGATCATATGTTAGAAATTAAAGAACGTTATTCCACATTCCATTTGCTCAATGTCCTGTGAAATGAATTTCATGGATTTGCCTGGCTCATTTGTATGGCATACATAAACCTGAAACAGAAAGTTGGGACAGAACTACGTTGGTTGTTTTCATAGCAAATTTAAACAGTCTGCATGTAAACAAGAGGAGACTTGGTGGGCACGGCACTTGTGAAATAGCTTTTCCCCTCATTTAGCAGAGAATGAAAAATTAAAGAATAGTCAAGGAGACATAGACTTAACTATTTCTAGTAGCTCTTCCTCCCTAGTAATGACAAATGAATTCAGCAAGTCCTCTGACTCTTGTTCTTCAGTCTGTTTTGCAACGTATGTGAGCACCTTCGTTATGGATTTGTTTATTATGGAAATCCTAATTTCAGTTACTCTGCTGTAAACCAGAGTAACTCTGATGATTTCGGGAACTTCACTGAGTCACTTATCTTGTGGTATGGTATCTGTGAAAGTCACCCTCGTTCAGATCACATGCTGAAGACTTAAATCTAACGGGTCGAGCTTTTTCATTACATTTCATTCTGCAACCAGATACTATAACATGTGTATAGACTTTTCAAAAGGGTTTACTTAAAATGGTGAGTGCTGTGCTTTTGTAATGGAGATTTTAGAAAAAGTCTGGGTATAACACAGAAACTGAAGAGGCGTTCATCCACGAAATTTCTTTGGTTGATGTCTTCTTGGTCTGTCTTCTAGATTGCTGCAAGATATAAATATGAGATTCATTGTTCAGAAGACCTCTGTAGAGCACTGCTGGCATGTGACACTGGTTGGACATCATCATCATTCTTGCTATTTGTAAGTTATGACTTGACTTGTGTATTTTGTTTGAGGGACAGCAGAAATGTGAAGCCAGAAGCAATGCAGAAAAATACGTAGGTTGAGACTTCCTATGAAGACCCCTAGGGTGTTCCCTGCCAGTGCAGGAGAGGGAATCGGGGCAAGGTTATGAAAGTCACAGACATAGACTGCAGTCCCCAAAGGACCTTTGCGTAACTAGCTTCTTTGTTAAAGTTTTTGGAAATACTTTGGGAGCATTTAATGATATTTTGGATGCTCTGCTTCCCCCCTGCAACTCCCTTAAAATGTTTTCCTGAAGTCATTCCTTACAAACTTTTCCGAAAGATGCTGCTAGTCTGAAAGAAATTGTCAACATGGCTGGAAATAATAATATCCCTCGTGTGGGCAGATACCTTTCACAAACCCTTAGAGTACATTGTTCTTCAGGTACTCCCATACTGCCTTTGTTTCTCCTCTCCCTCCAGTACTGTTTTAGGTCCCAGTCCTGCATGTTCATGTGCATGTATTTAACTCTAAGTACATGAGCAGTCACATTGCCTGCAGTGAGAATATTCACATGACTGAAAACATGCACTTGCATAGGGATTTCCTGAATCAGGGGCATAAAAGGAAATGGCCAGGTTAAAAATGGTTTTATCCCTGATGTAATGGCTTTGACACTAGTGGAATTATACAGAGCTGAAATAGATCCAGTACATTCAAACAAAGAACTATCTCCGGCTCCCTCACCTGCCAATTTCTGAATCTATGTTTATGGTATAATTAAAGTCAATCCCTTTCCCGTGTTTGGGCAGCTGGGGCTGGAGTAATTCACATCACTTTGCACCAGCAGGAGCTGCTGTCCCTCAGGGCAGTTTCTCCTGAGGTAGCTGGTGTGTTTCTGCTGCAGAGCTATTAGAGATGTGCCCAAGGAGCTTCACGGGAGCGTATAACCTGTGTGTCCCCACTGCCTGGCCACTGCCTGCTGCTGTGTCCTGGGCAGCTAATGGTAGTCTGTTGACAAAGCAGGTCTTGCCTGCCCTGCCATTTCCCTGCTCCTGTCTGATGCTGAGCAGTTCTTCAGCCTTGGCAAGAGCTGCTGGTCAGGCGAGAGGACCTTGTTTCTCTGTTGCTGTCTTAGGTTGTTTCACTTTCTGGTCTCCTGCAGCGGTGCCACTTAGTCCTATGTGGGTCTTAAATGCTCCTGGTGAATACTCACACTTGAAAACAGCTGGTATGTAAACATAAAAATAAAAGTTTGTTAGACTTAGAAGCAGCCTCTTTTCAGAAATGTTTCTCCCTCCTGTCTCTGGCTGCCCTGCCCTGCGCCAACATGGTGTTTGGGAGTCCCTAGTCCTTGTCGCCCTGAAACTCTCCCTTGGTACCTGTGTGATGTTGAACTTGTGCCTGGTGCAGCCCTGTATGGTTTTCTTCAGATCAACAAAAGCATGCGCTATACCTGCCTGCTCGCCCACTCAGTAACACAGGATAGACCTCCAAATGTCAAAAGTCACAGAGCCAGGGAAAAAAACCACCACCACTGAAAAAACAACCTCCAGCATCCAGGGCTCATGACTGCTTTGACAAGATCTATCTTTAGTTGTAATAGTGAGTCACATCATTGTGATCTGACTTTACGGTTAGGCTGAGGTATGAGCCAGGCCATGGGATTGAGAGACAGAGCGAGAGCATCATGGGATGTAGCTGTAAAATTCCACTACTCTCTACTCTCTAAATCAGGTTTGAAGAGAATTAAGAAACAGGAAGTGAGGGTATTTTTTTGAGTGGAAAATTATTGCAGCGCACGGTACATCATAATGTAGTTCATCAGTGCAGAAAGAATAATAAAGGAGATGTATTAGTAAACAGAGACTACTATAATATTCCTGAGCAAAGTACACCTCTTTCTGCATAGCTCTGTGTGCAAAGTGTCACGTCTAACCAACCCCACCAGCCACTACAAGCTAATGCAGGATTTTCTTGGATGGTGCTGTGTTGCCTAGCAACATTGCTAGGCAGCATGCTATACATCACGCGCAGAGCTGGCTACTACATTGTAGCAGGGCTGGTTCCAGTTATTTTTCCCTGCTATAAAATATTAATTTTCTGCTTGCGAGTAGACACAGCATCAGGAGGTTGAGGGATGTTCCCTCTTGGGTGGACATGTGCAGCTCCTGTTGACTGTAATGGGAATCACAAGTAGCCTCATGCGGAGCTGATCTCTCAGTATGTAAAAAGTGGGTGTGATTCCTGAGATATAAACACTTTCTGTGCCTGAGATGGAATACAGGTTGGCTTTAATATAAATAAATAAAGAGGCAGTGAAGATTATGTGACAGGCATAAAAATGCATGTAAAAAACTCTTCTCCCCCACCTCATTTTTTCTATGACTCCTATAAACACATCCCGCTCTGATGAGCGCATGTATACAAAGATAGGGAAATTTACTCAGCGTTTTGGGTATTTTTGAGATTCCTCTGTACCATGGCTTCGTGGGCGAGAGCTCGTATCGCAAACACCGTTGATGGTTTTTCAGATGTATTCCTGATGAACGGGATTTCAATGGAGACTGCTTGCTGAGTCCCTCCCCAGAATGGCTGCATAACCCAGCTGTTGCATGCACAAAAGAGGAAAACCAATCCTATTCCATAAGAGGGTGAGGTGTGATTACAGAAGGTAAACAACAGACACTTTCATCCCCAGAGCTACAGAGAAGATGGTATCTGCAGTTCATTTCAGGTGGGCAGACCCAGAACTAGGTGCTATCTTATTCTAGGGCAAAAGGGTCTTCTGCAAAGGTTTTATACAGGACAGAGTTTTGAATAGTTCTGAAACCTCTGCATCTAAAATGTTATTTTTTTGGGACATACTGTTACTGATAATGCTACCAGGTGGCAAGAAGGGAGGGATGTTAAATAGCTGATAAAAGGCAGCGGATCGTTTCTGGCATCTGAACGCTATATTTTTTCTTTCGTATATCAGTGGATAGACTCATTGTTTAAGCCAAGCAAAGAGGGAAGCAAGAGGGGGAAACCACACTGGCAAAATACACAACGGTTTGTGAGGTGAACAGCTGCATTACACTTCATCTAGACTTACCCATATGGAAGCACTGACAGAGTTAGCAAAACAGTGTTTTGTCCTACGACTGTTTTTCAGGAGAGCACAAATTTAGTTTTAGGTTAACCCTAACTAGTTAGCTTAGGCCTAACTTACTGCATTTCTGGGTATATGGTGGAACCAGACAAATCAGGCTTTTCTAGGGTAGAGCAGTATGTGTTTACACTACAGGCCCTGGAGGAGTACAGCAACGGCAGTTTGATACAGAAACTGTTCTCATGGTGTTCTGTGGCACTGATCCAACAGCAGAACAAAGGCAGCAACAGAACTTCCATTTCATGTTTTTCCCCAAATCACAGCAGACTTAAATGAATTGAGTGCCTAAGGCTCAGCTCCTCAACCTTTGTTTGTACATAAGGTGAATTTAATCCTAGGAGATGATGCTCAGAATTTGCAAGGAGAGTAAAACTGGGACCTAACACTTTGGAGTGAAAAACACTTTTACGGACAAATAAAATATCCTTCCCATACCTGTGCTTTAGGCATGAGCGTCATCTAGAAGCCTGTCCTGGTTTTGCAGTGATTTTGTTTGTTCGTTTGTATGGTGAGATAAAAAAGAATTTTTAACGTCTGTCTTTTTGTAGCTTGAAGGACTTTAATTGAAAGATTGTCCAGTTTTATTGCTGGTTCTTTAGCAAGATATTTCTTCGTATGCTTCAACAAACATTGACAGCAGTTACAGAAAAATTTAGTTGCAACAAAAATTTGCAGAATTTCACCCTGCTTTTGCTAGTCTTTCTGTCACTTCACAAATCTTCTCATCTTGAACACTTGACAAGAGACTGAGTTGTACTTCTGGTGAATGAAGACCAAGTGAAAAAACGTAAGGCCTATAACTATGCACATTCACTGACATCTCAAGGAAATGAATGTCCCAAGGCTTGCCCTTGTTATTCAAGCACAGAAGTGAATTGTTACAGAAAGATACCAGTGACTGGCAGAGGATTGCTAGACCCAGCACACATCGAGGACAGCAAACAGGCCCTACCCCCTTTCCGTCAACACTAGGACTTCAGCAATAGAAAGGCACTTTACAACAAGCATAAATGTCATTTATACCTGCTGCAAGACCTCTGCGAAGTCTTAGTATAAATGAGAATCTAGCTCAGTTCTTACCCTGCCTGAGGGCTGAGAGTTATCACAGCAGAAGTTAAAAGATAAACCACATCTTTACCACAAAACAGTGCCAAATACAGCACATGCAAGTTTTTAAGCCTGGGCGGAAGCAGAAGAGTGTTGTGCTGGGCAAGAGTGAAAAAAGAAAAAGGCTAATTTCTAATTAAATAGAAAAAGAAAATAGCTCAAGGACTTTTTCTCACTCTGAGTTTCATGGTAAATACCCAGTTTTCAGTATCATTAATGTCTTTATTATTATGACTACTATTAAGTGGTAGTCCAACCTACTTTTGTCTGTGTTTTCTGGGCACGTCTCAGCATTTTACAAGTTACAGGCTGTGCTAACAGCTGGAAATATTGTATCATCATTTCATTACCACCTGGCTTGAAGAGAGGATCCAGCAATTGAGTTTTGTAGGCATCTGCTGAGATAAACTAAGGGAGGAAGAAGCTGCTACAAGCTCTGCTATAGTTATTGTGAAAGTCCTTTTTCTTTTTTTTTAATTTAGGAAAAGACACATTTTCTTCTCCCTTAACCTGATCATTACAACTTCTTTTTCCTCCTCTTTCTTCTTTTGATTTGCAAGAAATAAGGTCTGTCTGTTTGCTTTATGCCACAAGAGGTGTCACAGTCTTCCTTCTCTCCAAATGACTCAAGGTGAATGTAATCTGAAAAACAACTCTAACAAAATAAGTTTTTGCAGATAAACCCAAAAGAACTAAATCCAGGGCAAGTCTGTTCCAAAAATTATATGTATATTTCCCTTTCCTTTATATCTGTCTTTAACTGTACCGTGTGTGTATAAGGGATGACAGGCAGTTACGTTCAGAAGCAGAATTACTCTTATAGAAAGATGTGGATGAAACTGTGATATGTCAGGAAGGTTGCGTGTCAGCTGCTTGTACCTGGAAGAGCACTTGAAAAGGAGAACAAATTGAAAAAAAAAAAGTGAAAAAGCACTTTTTTATTAAGTGCAATCAGATAGAACGTGTATATGTTTGCATGGCTGTTGATTTCCCTATTTACCTGCAATATTTTGAAAACCAGTATTAAAGCTACAAGCCAAACCCCTAAGAGATGGTAAATGACAGAACGAGGCTAGCCTGTTCATTTGGGCCCTCTGAGCTTGTGTATTAGGACAAGCTTTTAATTAAACAATCATCTGCTATTTTGTTCACAGAATACCCACCTCATCTGGGACCCGGAGCGGGTGATGACTGTTAAATAGTGTTTATGAGACACCTATCTGTTACGGTGAAAACATGACGGAAATGCCTTCAAGAAACCTGGCAGTTTGGATTGAGTGAAGGACCGGGACAATATATGCAGAATATAATGCAGAAGCCACAAGCTAACTGTTGAAGATGAAAACAAAAAAGTCAACTTTTGCTTTAATTGAATGCTGTCAGTACTGAGCACTGAATGGAGCAGATGTCCCTAAACAAGAAAGATAAAAGAATATCTGATCCTTTACTAAAAGGATATAATCATACGAATGTACTAAGCAGCTAATTAAACCTATCTGGACTATCAAAATAATTTCATCAGACTTCCTGTAAAATTCAGGCCATAGAACCTCAATTTCTACTTTCGCCCCCTAGCTTCTGTTTGAGCTGCAATATACGTGACTGCTGTGATCATATTCTTTTAATGCTGATTTTAAATGTATTACATATATTTTGCCTTGCGCTTTTGATTTAACGTTGCTGGGTAGTCAGTGCTGGCTTACAAACGAACGTGCACATAGGCTTTGTATGCAAAGTTATATTTTAAATGGAAGTTGTGTCATATTTATGAAGAAATTTCAAAGTGCAGTGAATTGAAAAAGGAACAAAAAATTGTGTGTGCTTTGCTTTTTTTTTTTTTTGAAGAAATACCCTCCCTTTCTGAGCAAAGAAGAAAAAGAAATTCAAGATTTTTGTGGATATAGGTGTTTCAAGAGGGGTGTGTGTGTGTGTTTTTTTAATGAGAGGAAAATTAAAATAAAAATAGTGTAACTCCTTCCTTTATTCAGTCATTTTTAATACCAAAGTCCTGAAAGCTGGTTTGGAAATATTTAAGTATGCGTTTTTTTGCGCTGGTCCTGGATTAGTGACAGCAATACCCTCCTGGATCTTTTTCCGATGCATGGGAGGCTGCTGATTGCTAGTTCATAGATATTGGTGCCATTTTGTCTATTCCTTAAAATGGTGTTAACGTTGCTGTCATATCACAGTATAAAACCATACCGTTATGAATAACTAAGAATTCACTGGAAATCTTCTCAGTTATTGGAAAAGTTGCAGAAATCTTTCTGATTAATGAATGTAGCTCTGCTGATCAGGAATAATAGCAATAATACCACAGCCAGCTTACTCTCTGTCAGTAAATCTGCTGTTTCAATCTTGGTTAGTAACGCGACCTGGCTTTTCATATTCTACTGTTTTTCAGCATAGTAACATTTGTGCTCAGGTGTAATGTGAACCCATTGTTGATAGCGTGTCAATGAAAGCAATGCCAACCTATGTTTTAGTCAGCATGTTACGGTGCCCCTTATTCCAGCAAATTGTAATCCCTTGTAATGTAAGTTATGTAGTCAATTTTTTTTTTTTGCTTTTTAAATTAGGAAAATAGAGAGTTTGATTCCGATTTCAGCCCCATGAAAATCCCAGGTAATTTTGTTAGAACCGTTGGGAGTTGCACTGCTCTAAAACAGATGAAAGGCTTGAAGGAATAACTTGTCGTTTCATTTACGTAGCAGTAGGTCTCCCACAATTCCATTCACCTTGGGTCGTGTTACTCTGCACTTCCTCCCTTAAAACAGGGCAATAGGAGATTTCAGCTCCTAGCCTAGCTTCCCTGTTGCACAGATAGCCTAGAGTTTGCTGTTATCTTTTGTCACGCTGACTTCCCCTCTCTTTAAGTCTCCCCTTGATGGCTGTTTCCAGCCTTGACAATACACTAAAACCAATGTTAAATTCTATGTTCATCTTCAAGTTTCGAGAGTTATTCATTGCATGTGACCAGCACATAGCCGTTCATTCCTTCTTCTCAGGTATTTTCATCTTCTCCCATAGCTTCACTTTTTATCTGATGAAAAATCTCATTTTGCTTATCTATAAAGTGTCTTTGAAACCAATATCATGGCATTAGCAGTAAGTAAAAACGAACAGTTACAGGTTGTAGATTATGATTCACTAAATAGCTCTGAAGATCATAGGAAATAGGGTTGGGAAAATCTATTTGCTCATCGGTCCCTGTCAGTGGTTAGATGCTTCTGTATAGGATATTGTCAAGCGATTTTTTCCAGTCGATGTTTAACTGGCCTGTCCTGACTGGCCAGATTAAAAATTCCTGTGTGAGTTCCCATTGAGGAGGTATCTATTGCAGTAAATGATGTGAATACCCTTGAGCTCGGCTAGTGTTCCCTAAGCTTTCCTGCCCTGTTGAAAGATGCCAGCAAAGGAATATTGATACAGAAGATGTAAAATTGCTGGCCAAAATTTTGATGCAAAGAAGGAAGATAAAGAGCCCATTTCTGTCAGCAGTTTTTCCAGTATTTAAATTTAAATGGGGTTAATTTGGGAAAGGAAAGTTTTAGAATGGCATATTTTTTTCCAGGAGGGGAAAAAAAAAAAAAAAAGAAAAACAGGTATTTCTCAATCAGATAAAATGTCCCTAGCCATAGGTATTGGCATTCTGGCCCCTCTTTCTACACAAAACTAACCCTGGATTTAAGGATGTAAGTAATTTTTTGCTTAACATTAAGCCTATGAAATAAATCTTTTCAGGATCTAGATCTCATTAAATATGTTTATGGTGTTTGATGTCTGAAGGACTGGACAGAAGAAAGTTTCCAAATTTCAAATTTGTAATTGTAATTAATTATTAGGAGGGAGAAAATATTGTGTGAGTTTCCTTCACTGTTTTTTTCTTTTTTCATGATTCAAACACTTTGGATAAATTCTACAGCTGCAGAATTGTAGAATAGAGTGGAATAATGAAGATGGTCAACTACTGTTACTGTTCAAGTGTTAATTAGACATAAAATGATGTAGAGGAAAAGGACTAAATAATGGCTGCTAACATATGGGCAAAACAAGGAAATGTAGGCCAAAGTTTTAAAGAGAATCTGTTTGTTTTCAAGAGAAACATAAGTTAAAATCTGCTCTTGTTCCTGCATCTGCAGCATCCCACCCAAAGGCAGGACATGTCCAGATATATCTTTTTTGTACCCAGAAATTTCTACTGGCAGAAAAGGAGGAAGGTAAGCATCTGCCTTGGATTTCCAGCTGCTGGGCAGCCCACTCACAATCATAGCTGTGACTTAGCTGCCTTAACATGTGCCATAACCAGGATATCCCAAGTCCTGTTGAAAAGGCCACTGTGCTTGTGTAGAAAAACTGTGCAAAGGCTATGCAATGAGTCCAGCATGTCTGGGCTGAGCTGAACCTCCTGCTCTTAGGCTGCAGGATTCATCTCTGTGTCTGCAGCACAGTCCAGCACTGTAGCAGTTCATTGTGTTGAGATTTCCCGGGTGGAAGAAGAGGGGCCTGAGGTGGATGTGCAAATAGAAAATAAAACATACGGGTCTTTTCATGAGCCTGAACAAAGAACAGGTGGAAAAATCACCACTGAATATTTGTCTCCGTATATGCAGATAGCAACCATTAACCTGTAGCTTGTGAGCTTCTTGTTGGTCTGCGGTCCTTGAAAGATGTTTAAGGAAAGCGAGCCCACTGGCCCTGCACTCAAATCACTATAGAGGGGTCTGCAGCTCCGCTGGAAAATTTGTGGAGGTGCAAACTGGAAAATCTTGAAAATATGGCCGAAGTACAATTGAGTTAATGCGTAAAACGTTGGGGTGAACCAATGTGGCAGACTTTGCTGTGCCTGTTTGCAGAATTCCTTTCTTGGTCCAGAATTAGGCACAATTTGATGTTTGACTCAGTTCTCTCTTCTGTTTACTCAAAATAGAGTTGCATATGAGAGTCATACAGGTATATATGCTTTTATACTTTATATACATACATACATACATACATATATATATATATGTATATATATATAAAAGTAGATATGTATATACCTCAAAGTACCCTTTTGTTACTTTCCTGCCCATATACTCATTGTATGAAACACAGAGGGAATAGCGAAAAATGGTTCAAGGGATTCAGGTGGTTACAGGACACTTACTTTTGAGAGATGGTTTAGTACACCCTAACTGAAGGTGTATCAACTGTAAAAGAAAAGCACACATATCCCTTATCATGTTTTTTCCCCTCATTTTCAGACTACAATAGCAGCCTCTGTGCAGGGAATTTCCTGGCAGTAATGACAAGCTAGGGTTATAATGGGCTTCCACTGTTTCTCAGTTCATCAGCTCCAGCTGGTCATTAATTCCAGCAAATGCATTGCACCTCAACTCTTCACTTGTTTCCTGGAAGAAGAGGAAGCAGCAGACCTCTGGTGTTTCAAAACTGGTGAGCCACTTTGAATCACGTTGAAATCAACTATCCAATTTTAGCCTGGTTGACCTTTAATCAAGATATGGGTGCTTTGTTCTCTTTCACTCCCTCCCCTTCTTATACATGGTATCATGTCTTTCACAAATGCCAAGAGAAACAGGATAATCACTTTTTGTTCCTCCTCCAAGGTCAGCAGATCACAGCCGAGTCAAGTGTTTCTGGTCCTTGTCCTCTCTGAAAGCAGTTATGACTGTGTGAGAACATAGCTGTTTAAATTATTTAGATTACTATTTGCCTGGAACAGTTATTCTTATAGTCATGGCTTTCTTTTGTAGCTCTCAAATGCTCTATTTGGGAGGGGATGTTTCATTATCTCTGTTTTACAGATGGGGGAATTATAATTAAGTTCTCAAAGTCCATCGCTGAGTGGGGAGCTTGATCTCTGGAATCAACTGTGATGTCCTTCTCATCGCTCCAGTCTGCCTCACACTAGGTGGGATAGAGAGAAGTAGAAGAGGGTTTCCGAGGAGGCCAGTAGCACATCTTACAACACTGGCATATATTCCAGAGGAGTTGTGAGTAGCTTTTACATATCCACTAGTAAATGAATACCAGTGTGTATCTTTACAGGTAGGGCTTTACCGCTCCCTGACGTTTCTGCCAGTGTAAACACAGGATAATTTCACTGCAACCACCGTAAAATTGGTGAGAGGCAGCGCACAATCTGGCCTACGCCGCTTTTCAAGTGAAAATAAGGGAATCAAGCATCAAAGATAAAAGTGGCCATTCATATCATCAAACTACAAAAAGGAAAGAAGCAGCAAGTGGCTGCTTTAATTAGCACTCATTCCTATCATCTGTGCTGACTCTGTTCCAAGCAAATGGCAGGTCTTTACTCTGACTTCTTTGGGAGCAGGAAGCAGGCCAATTTCTCTCTATGCTTTTTTGTTATTATTTTTATTATCTTAGTAGTACATTGATCAGAGTTTGTTGGCAAGTACCTAGTGAAGGTCACCGGCATTCCTAGTGCTGTTTTATTGAAATCAGTAAAATGACATCAGAAGGGAAGTCGGCCCAAAGTATGTTGTTTTTTTTTTTTTTTAAATCACAAAATCTCGCTGGGCACTAGTCAATTCTTTTTTAAACAACATTGCTCCAGGTTAAACAAGAATAAGACAAACAAAACCATGCAGGGTTTGCTTGTTTTGGACACTGTGTTACTGAAGAGGTGTAGCTTATAAGCATCCTGCCAATTTGTCCAGTTTACCAGTGTGTTGGAGAAATCATATAGTGAGTTAACTATTTATTATGCCAGCTGCTTATTCAA